GAGGCATTCTGACTTGACTGGAAACTGTCAAACCTTGGAAGTTAATCAAGATAGGCTACTGAAGCATAGTTTGGGATCAGATAAGCATTTCAGTGTTCAAGGTCCACCTATTTATCATATAGCCTCATTTTTCATTCATGGTTAAGTGCTTTCTGAAGGTTTTAGAAATTTTCTGTGGTGGGGAGCAAGCAGTATCTTTGAGTTTTATTTAGAAAACAACAGTCCTCTCCAAATAAAATTACAAATCACCCTCAACAAGAGATACTTAAACTAAGTCACATGCTAAGAAAATGCTAATGCATGAAAACTTTTTTTTTGGAAGGTGGGGCATTGAACCTCAGGGCCTCACACTTGGGCCATGCTCCAAACCCCAAGAACTGTTTTTGTTGAAGGCAATGATGCTTAGAATTTCTGGAAATTTCAACTTTTTCCTACTCCTTGATTAATTTTTTTATTTCCTACTTTGTGGAATGATAAAGGAGGATGATGAATATGTGAATGGATTCCTAGATGCATGAATAGCTGGATAAATAAAAAGGGATAAAAGATGCAGGGGGAAAAGAAAGGAATCTAGACAAAAACACAAAAGGAATACAAAAGGAAGGAAGAAAACCTTTTTTAAAAAAAGGAAAAGGAAGGAAAGAACAAGGGAAATACATGGATGAAAGATCATAATCTACTTGTGTAATAAATATACTTATAACAATTAAATACAATAAACTAAAATATACTTAGTAAAAATGTACTGAGAGAAAACAAAGGAAATAATATATATTTCACAATGTCATCTAACAACATTCTTAAAAAAATCACATAAAATTATTGTTTCTGAGTCAGCCTTGTTTTAGTTATTATAGAAAATTGGCATTTAGAATTTAGACTGATTAGGCTCCTCAAAATTGAAAGTCAAATTTTCAGAGGATTAGAAAAAAACTCTTATATTTCTAGAACATAATGGTATTGTTACCAGGCTGAGTGATCTAAGAAGACAATAGTCAGAAGATTCTGAGTTCTTGTGTCACCTGAACAGAGAACTGGACAGAGACACAAATTGCAAAACAGTAGTAAAACTTTATGGAAAGAAAGAGTAAGAGGAAATCACTACAAGGAAAGCATGGGCTCTGCCAGGTAGCACAGAAGCCTTGATTTCTTTGCCCAATTTATAAGTTGTAAGGCAGGAAAAATCTAGGCAGTCTTGAGGGAGGAATTTGGGTGCCTGGCAGGTTTACTTAACACAGCTTTATCACATAACAAGGGGTATTCTGCACATGTGCTTATGTTAATTTTTAGGCCTTTCATCATAGTATGAGATGTGATCAAAGAGGACTTGGTCTAGAAGGTCACATTAGGGGCAGGCCTTTTTCAACAAGTAAGGCAGACCCAAAGTTGCTTCTTTGGAAGATGTCTTACAAATAGCTATCTTGTAAAGATACTTAAGACCACCAGGGTATTTACAGTTTAGAGAGGATTTATTGCTTTAGGGACAGCTCAGGGGTCTGTGCTTGGGGAGAAGGATATCTGTTTGTTTAAGAGAGGTTCCATGGTGGGTTATTTCCCTTTGCTAGCCTATCTCCATATCAGGTGTGCTACCTGATTTTCAACATCACTATTAAGGATTCATTGGATGAAACATTTTCCCTTCTTTTAAAAAGCAGCTTATACAAGTGTGTTAGGTCCCAGTCCATGAGGCTAGTGAGTGGTGTGAAATGTTTCACAGAAAAACAAGAATTGAAGCAGAAGCAAAGTGTTACTTTCCAAGACAGGAAAGGGGATAGTACTAAAAGCTATCAGCCCAGAATGTAATTAGGGTTAGGATTTATTAGCATTTGAGATGTAACTGGAATATACTGCTGATGTTTTGGGGATTTTTGTTTGGTTGGTTGGTTTTGGGTTCAGCTAGCTCTTTCAGGAAGCAGCTAGGGTTGTCAGTCTCTCAAAGTTTTGCCAAGTTTTGCCATGGTGGTTGTTTGTTAGCTTGTATGATCTGTGACAGCAAGTAGTCCTAAATGTTGTCAAGAAGATGCAAGTGGGGTTCTGTTTGAGTTAGGAAAAACAGATTCTGCAAAACAAAGTAAAACAGTCTTCCTACTAGACAACATGGCGTCCTCTACAAAATGGAGTAGGTTAGGCTAATTTAAGTGGGAGCCTTACCAAGTGCTACAGCTTGAAATGGTAATGGCATTATGACTAAAAGAACTAGATTCAATGTAATCCTAGCTACTCAGGAGGCAGATATCAGGAGGATTGAGGTTTGAAGCCAGTCCTGGCAAATAGTTCACGAGACCCTATCTTGAAACAACCCACCACAAAAAAAGGCCTGGTGAAGTGGTTCAAAGTGTAGGCCCTGAGTTTAAACCCCAATACCACACACATACAAAAATGAACTAGATTCAAATATTGGTCCTCTCTTGGCTTATAAAGTATAGTAATTGGTCTTTGAGATTTTTTTTATAAGGGTTAAATTGAGACTAGGAAAAATTCAGGACACATATGTAGGTTGCCCAGGCATGGACTAGACCACACTCACCTGGCCAGGAACCATCCATGCCCCTCCCCACTCATTGATCATTGAATGGGAATCATCTGGTTCCTCCCTTCCCCTAAGTGTAAGTTTTGAAAGTACCTGAGAAAAAAGCTCTCTCTCTCTCTCTCTCTCGGCCTTCAGATTCCATCTGGGCCACACCATGCTCCCTTTGTATTTCTCTTCCCTAACTTTTAATAAACTCCCTTTATATCCATGTGGCCTGCCATGATTCTTCCCAGTGAGAGACAAAGAATTTATAAGTTTTGACAACAGACTGCACCAGCACCATTAACAAAAGGAGATAATATAGTTAAAGGTCTTAACACTATGCTAGGTATATTATAAAAGCTTAGTAAATGTTAACTTTTACCAAAAAAAAAAAAACTGACTGGTGTGTAGATATTGATTATCATATTGCTTATGTGCAGAGGAACCCAGTAATCAATAATTAATTGATCTTAAATTTTTTCATTTAACAAAAGCAAAACAAGGATTTATAAAAGACAAAGAGGGAGAACAGGAAAACCACAATTTGAAAAGAGCAAATTTGGGATATACTAATACTTAGCAAGGACAAAGGTATTCTGCTCTTGGGCATCTGGGTGAGCACCCAAAAAAAGTCAGTTTTTAAATGAATTCTCTAGAACAACTCGACCACTAAACTGGGAGCTTATCTACTTAAACTTGTGACAGCTATTGGGATCTGTTGTTAGCATCATCATAAAAGTTAGGCCAGGTCTGTGTTACTAGAAAGTCACCACAGTTACCTGCCTCAGTTTAGGGAGAGAAGAATTCAGACAAGACAAGAAAATATACTGAAAATGATAGCAAAGTTTATTAGGAGAGGAGTACACTTTCAATAGACTGAAAGTGGGTAGTCTCTAGAGTGAGAATGACAGTATTAGCATTTGGAGTTGAAATATTTATTGTGACATTCCCAGCCCTAGGTAGACCTGATTCCTAAGCTGCACCCTAATCATCAGTGAAACTGGGGCTGGGAATTTCACACAAGTGATCTCTTTAATTTAGCAAGACAAACACCCAGGCCCTGGCTGCATCCTAGGGATCAGATGGACCTGGGACTAAGACTTTCTCAACCCTACACTTTCCTTAATGGTACTCAGTTCATTTTGTCGTTATAAATTTGCTTTTTGGTTATTTGATTTTCCCCCAACTAAACTGTCACATCCACAATAGAGGGATCTTTTGAGCTTTATTCACCACAACCTACTCTAAATATAGCACAGCATTAACACATAGTTCCTGTGCACTGTGTTTGAGAGAAGGAGGGAGAAAGAGGTTTAAGGAGAAAGGGAGGGAAGCAGGAGGGCACAATATAGTATAAAACAGGTGAAATAAAATTCTAGTGACAAGAACTGTCATCCTGGATTTGGACATGGGAATTAGGAAGAACTTCAAAGAAGACATGCCATTTTATCTGAGCCTCCATGCATGTGCAGAATAAAACATTCCCTCTGAAGAGGCACAGGACATGGAATAAAATATCATCAGTTTCTCTGGAACATGAAGTCTTAGAGGTGGTATCCTAAGAGTTGAAGTTAGGAATTGATGCCAAAAAATGTCAGACAAAATCACTTGACAATGAGGAGTCCCTGGAGGAGCTGGGTTAGAGATGAGACAGGTTCAGATTTGTGCTCTAGAAACACAGGTTTGGTGAGCTGTAAAAGCCGAATGGGAAAGGGGGAGATCTGAGGCAGGGAGGTGACAGCATGGGCTAAGCTATTCCTTCTTTATTCCTGGGATTTATAGTTGTACTTACACCAGAAAATCACCTACCAAAAATCTGGGATTACTTGATTTAGACAAATGTTCATCATGCTCAAGTCTTCAAGGAATTGCCGAGATGAATAATTAGAATACTTTGAAGACCACTCAATCCTCTTCTTTACATGCATTCATCCATATCTTGTTGGTGTGCAAGTTTGAGCTGATACTCTAAATTACAGGTTATTGTTAGGTCGATGCAGATGAAAAGGCCAAATTGGAGTCAAATTGACAAAACAAGCAGGCTTTATTGAGAGCGCGCTCTCAGATGAGGTTCACCATCCCCAAAGAACAGGGCTGGAGAAGTTGTGCCCAAGAAATGGCAGCCCAGTTTTTATAACCTGGGTGAAGTCAAGAGCTTCAGGTACCGTGGAGTGTCGGGATAGGTTGAAGCCTAGTGAGGGGAGGGGGCTCAGGGTAATGTGGACCTATAGGATAGGTCGGGACCTATTTTCCACCAGTGGGAGTTGCCATGGCAACCATAGAGGGAGGAGGAGAGAGGGTGATTGCCCACCAGTAGGAGTTGCCAGCAGAAGTTGCCATGGTAACCAGAGGGGGAAGAAGGGGGAAGGTGAAGTGGAAAGTCCCCGATTGCCATGTGGTTGGCTGCCTACTGGCCAAACATCCCAGACTCTTTGGTATAAAGGGCACAGAATTGGTTCCGGTTACTTCCTGCTGAAGGGGGGTGAAGTCAGGAGCTAGGGATGTCTTGGGCCACTTGGCCGGTGTAGGCAGACCCCATGGGGAGAGGCTGGTAGTCATGGACCTGGAGTAACATTTGGCTGAAGGTTATCCACGTTAACTGGCAGAGGCGGTCTTGGAAAAATTGAAAGAAAAAGGGTGCCAGGAGCAGAAAGAGGCAAATGATCACCAGGGGACCTATCGGTGGGGTGAGAATGTTAAACAGGATTGAATTCCACCAGCCAGGAGTGTCAGTCGAGGCAGCATTGTAGTGGTGCATCTCATTGCTGAGTTTGTGAAGTGACTGGACACAGGTTTCCACCAGGCCTGACTCATTAATATAGTAGCAACATTCTTCCTGAAGAAAGAGGCAAGTTCCCCTTTTGTCCTCCATGGGAAGGTCCAATGCATGGTGGTTCTGTAGAGCTACCTGAGTTAGGGAAGTTATCTGTCTTTGAAGAGAGGCAAGGGATGCTGCTGAGTCTTCAAAGCCTGTCAGGATCTGTTGAGAGAGCCTTTGGGTCTGAATTACTGAGTGAGCCAGGGCACCAAAGCTGAAACTGGTAGCTGCCACTGAGGCTGCCAAAGATATGCCCACAAGGACAGGCAGGAAGACAGCCCTCCTAGTCCTATGTTGAGGTGAGGGCTGGGTTCCTGATGTAAGGTGTATGAGATGAAAGAATTCTCCTCTTTCATACATGGTAAGCTGGGGAACCATAGATACAGGTAAACAGAGCTGGGAAGTTAGGGCCTGTTGGGTGAGGTTTTTTGAAAGTGTGCCATTACACCAAAAGAAGCCTCCTGGAGGGGCCCAGAGGGAGCCCGATATGGTAGAGTTAGTAGTGTTGCACATTTGGCCAGGATCAGAGTAGCAGAAAGGTAACTGTGGGGATAGAGGATCTCTATATAAAAGGGCTCCTGTGATGGGGGTGAACGGAGGCATGGAGGCTGACCCATTTGGTGGGAATGGTCTAGGTAAGGGAACAGCTATGAGTGGGGGCCTGGACAAGGCGACACAGAGGAAAGAGCTAGTTACATTGGCTAGACCTGACCTATTTAACAAGTTGACACCTTCCTGTACCAGGGACAGCTGGGGAATAGGGTCCCTCTGGGTTTTGTTTTGAAGACTGTTTTCTGTCTCCTTGATGGCCTTTGCCTGGTCTTTTAATACTTCAAGGACCTTGGGGACCCCTTGTTCATACTCCCTCCAGATCCTGAAGGTTGTCAAGAGGTATGAGGACGATGCACGTGAATATTCCTTAGCTATCACTCCAGTTGCCCATCTAATATTCCAGGGATCAGGAATGTAGAAGTGGAAATCAGAGCTATCAGAGTAAGCCTGTAGTGTGTTGCCTGGGGGAGGTTTATTTGCCCCTATGATCCAGTGAATTTTGCAAGACCAATAAGGACATCCTCCATATTCCTCAACCCATTTGGCCCCTTTTTACAGTATGGCTCGATTTAGTCAAATGTAAAACATAGATAAGGGGCATTGGTTAGGCTGAAAGAAGTGGTCTGAAATTTGAGGGCGACGGAATGGTTACAACCTGTGGGGGGGGCATTCCCCGGAGTCGAAGATTTGGGTGGTCACCCTCTTGCCCTTTGTGACTGTCTCTTTGATTTTAAATCTCCAGCAGTAAGGAAGAGATGGTTCAGACAGAATCAGGGGAAGAGTCAGGAGCAGTATTAAGAGCATCCCCAACCTGGGAGATCTGAAGGGAAGTGGGCCCCATCTGTGTAACTGCCAGGTTTTGGTAGAAGTGGTGGATGGGAGACTTTTAAGGCAGGTGAGGTGGTACCAGGCAGTGTGTCCCAGAAGCTTCGCCGCCGAGGGAGTGGTGAGGATGACAGTGGATGGTCCTGTCCATCTGGGTTGGAGGGGCCTCGGATGTAGCTGCTTGAGAAGAACATGGTCGCCTGGAGACATGACAGCGGGATCCAGCTGCCTGGAGAGGCAAGCAATTGGCTGATGAATAGGGCCTGATAGTTGAGTAAGGACCCCTTTGGCTATTCCAGAAGCCTCATCTGTAAACAGGTGGTATGGTTTGGAAGGGTTTGGGAGGGCCAAGGCTGGGCCTGAAGGAGGATGTCCTGAGAGAAGAAAAGCAGTGACAGACTGTGGAAGGAGAGGTAAGTGGACCAGTGGGAGTTTCCTTGGCTGCCTGGTACAGTGGGCGGGCCAACGAGGCAAAATTGGGGATCCAGTGTCTAAAAAAACCAATGAAGCCCAAGAAGGACAAAATTTCCTGGGCATCGTTAGGAGGAGGGATGTCCCTTAAAATTTGAACCCAGTCCATGGAAAGTGCTTTTGAGGTGGGGGTGAGAAAGAAACCCAGGAAAGTAACAGCTTGTAAGCAGAGTTGGGCCTTGGCTGGGGAGACCTGGTATCCCTTAGAGGCTAGGAAGTTAAGGAGGTTGGCTGTTCCTGTCTCAGAATCCTGCTGAGAGGGGCAGCACAGGAGGAGTTCATCGATATATTGTAGAAGTGTACTGGGTTTTGTGTCACACATGACCAGATCCCGAGCTAGAGCCTGACCAAAGAGGTGGGGGCTATCCAGAAGCCTTGGGGAAGAACTGTCCAAGTCAGTTGTTGAGTGAAATGGGTGTCTGGGTCTTCCCAGGTAAAGGCAAAGAGGAAATAGGAGTCCGGATGGAGGGGGATAGTAAAAAAAGCATCCTTGAGGTTGAGGACAAAAAATGAGTAGTATTAAGAGGGATGTTGGGGAGGATTGTATAAGGATTTGGGACCAAAGGGTGGATGGGGATTATAGCCTCATTTATAATGTGCAGGTCCTGGGCTAATCTATAGGATCTGGAAGGCTTTTTTATTGGAAGGATAGGTATGTTACTTGGGGAATTTATAGGTATAAAGAGGCCCTGATTTAAGAGTTTGGTAATTATTGATTTTATGCCTCTGCGATGTTTCCGAAATAGGGAATTGGGGTCTGCAGGGGTATTGGTTAGGGTCCTTAAGAGAAATGCAGATAGGCAGGTGGTGTGTAGCCACAACTGGGATTGAGGTGTCCCAGACAATGGAATTGACTGGAAGGGGAAGGATGGGCAGAGTAGATCTAGGGGAAGGGGGAGGGGCAAGATGGCTAGCAGAAGCCAGAAGGAGTGAGTGAGAGGCAGGAGGCTCTGGCAGGTGGGGAGGGATAGCCATAGAGGCGCCGAGTTTTTGGAGAATATCTCGACCTAGAAGTGGGACAGGGCAGGATGGGATGATGAGGAAAGAATGTGTAAATATTATACCTCCAGCAGAGCAAGGAAGAGGCAGAGTTTTATGTGGGTAGGAGGGAGAGCTGTCAATTCCCATAACAGAGACCAGTGAAGGAACTGTTAAACCCGAGTGGGCAGGCAGCATGGAATAGGTAGCCCCTGTGTCCAAGAGGAAGGAGATGGACTTACCCGCTACCTGGAGCGTGACCCTGGGCTCGGCAAGGGTGATTGAGGTCCCCAAGTCAAGGCATTGTCAATCTTCTGCCAGTCCAAGAAAGTCAGGGATCTGGATAGCTGGTGGGGCTGACCCTCCACGAGGAGCCGTAGCGGGTAAACCCTGTCCAGGACAATCTGATCCCCAGTGACCCACCTGTTTGCATTTTGGGCAGAGCTTAGTTGGAGGTTTCAGGTTGGGGCACTGGCAGGCCCAGTGGCCTTCCTTGCCACATTTGAAGCAGGCCCCTAGAGTTGCTGATGGGAGGTTGTGGGATCCTCCTTTGACTTGGAGCTGTAACCCAGCCAGTCGCAGAGCTGCCACCAAGGCTTGGGTTTGGAGAGCCACCTTTGGTTGGAGGTGTTTTTGGCAGGTAGATTCTGCTGCCTCCTCTTGGGCATTAAGAACTTTAAATGCCATTTTCACCAAGTCCTGTATAGGGGTTTGAGGGCCATCCTCAGCCTTTTTTAGCTTTGTTCTGATATCTGGCATGGACTGAGAAATAAAATGTCCAGCCAGAATTGCTGCCCCAGCAGAGGAGGTAGGGTCTAGTCAGGTATATTGGGTCAGAGCCTCCTGGAGGCGGTTAAGAAAGAGGGCTGGATTTTCATTGGCCCCTTGGGTGACCTTGTGGAGTTTGTCAAAATTTAAAATTTTGTTGGACATTGTGTCCATGCCCTGTAGGAGGCATCGAATCATTATGTCTCTCCTGCGATGACTCAGAGCCCAGGTTGGTAGTCCCAGTTAAGGTCGCGATCAGGAATTACATCTTCCCCAACGGGGACTATAGGGTCAGCCAGATGGGTTTCATCAGCATAGTGTCAGGCAGCCGCCTTAATGCATTCCCATTCCTCAGGGATGAGAGTGGAGGCCATAATGATGAATATTTCATGCCAAATTAAGTCATAGGCCTGAGATAGATAGCGGAACTCTTTGGTATAAGCAGAGGGGTTGGCGGAGAAGGACCCCAAGCACTTCTCTATTTGTGATAGATCCTGGAGGGAGAAAGGAACATGGACCCGAACCACTCCTTCTGCTCCCGCCACCTCTCAGAGAGGACAAAGGAGAGGGGGTGGGGAGGGGCAATGTGAGCGGGTGTGGGAGGCTATTGGAGATGTTGGAGGGCAGGGAGTGGGTGGAGCAGAGGGAACGGGAGGCAAGGCCAAAGAAGGTGGCTGTTTGGGCAGTGAGGGTTCTGCGGGTGAAGGAGGGGAGGGGAAGCCAGGTGGGGTGATGGGGGTGGTTGTGGTTGTCGGGGAGGGGGGGCAGGAAATTTGGTGGACTCAGAGGAGAAGGGTCGGGGTATGGGGAGGGGATCCAGAGGAGTTGGGAGTTTGAGTGAGAAGGATCTGGGAAGGGGAACATTGGAGGCAAAGAGAGGGACAAGAGCACAGTTCCCAAAAGGCCTGCACATATCGGACCTCAGACCATTTATGGGTTCAATGGCAAAAATTGTCAAGATCAGTGAGGATATTAAAATCACAAGTGCCCTGTGGAGGCCATTTTCAGTTGTTGTCTAAGGTGTATTGTGGCCACGCTGTGGTGCAGTAGAAAATGAGCCACTTGCAGCAGAGGTCTGGAGAGAGTCACAAATTTTGAAAATTTGAGAGGAGACAGGACAAGGGAGTCCCTTAGTTCAGCTTGTATTGAGAGGACCCCATCCCTGAATTGTCAGAGAGTCTCATCCTTTAGGGAGGCATCCCTCGCTAAAAGAGGAGACCTGGTTCAGAGGAGGCAGACTAGACAGGGGAGACATCTCTCTGGGTGCCCAGGTGCAAGGAAAAATGGAGGGGCTGATCCTGGTGTGGCCTTGACTAGGACAGGGGCCGGAGGAGGAACAAAACAGGGGGAGGAGACTCACCCAAGCTGGAGCTGGAGCATTGATCCAGAGAGGAGGAAGGGCCTCAAGCCAGGGACTGGCCCAGGGCCCCGACTGCCTGGAGTCAGGTAAGGCGCACTTCCTCCCTGGTTTTGGCACCAAATGTTAGGTTGACGAGGATGGGAAGGCCAAATCAGAGTCAAATTGACAAAACAAGCAGGCTTTATTGAGAGCGTGCTCTCAGGCAAGGTTCACTGTCCCCAAAGAACAGGGCCAGAGAAGTCGCTCTGAGAAATGGCAGCCCAGTTTTTATAACCTGGGTGAAGTCAAGAGCTTCAGGTACCGTGGAGTGTCGGGATAGATTGAAACCTAATGAGGGGAGGGGGCTCAGGGTAATGTAGACCTATAGAATAGGTTGGGACCTATTTTCTGCTGGCGGGAGTTGCCATGGTAACCAGAGGGGGAGGAGGAACAGGGTGGGTGAAGTGGAAAGTCCCTGATCGCCATGCAGTTGCTGCCCACCGGCCAAACAGTTATGTCACAGAATTCACGTGAAGTAGATGAACCCTAAAAGAACCATGCAAGCACTGACTATATCAACTTCTTTATTTAAATTAGAAAGGTGAACCCTGTTTTGACAAAAGTCTTTGTGACTTCTACATCTATTGAGTTAATAATAATAGCTAGCAGCTGCCATGTTCTAGGAACAGCACTATAGCACTGTATCCATGATTTCATTTGTCAGATAAGGTAGGTAATGTTATTTCCATCTTTCAGAGATTAGGGAGGTTGCACAGCCCCTAGGGGCAGGTCCAAGACTCCAATTTGCTTTTTCTAACATCCTCTGAACTAGTCTAGATACAATTTTCCTTTGCCTGGTAAACAGCTTGTAATTATTTTTAAAGTTTTTTACCCCAGTTAGCTCACAACAACTTCTACTACATTTAAATATACAAAAGGTATGGCAGCACACACCTAAAAAGGCAGACATAGGAAGATCACCAGTTCCAGCCAGCACCAGCTCCAGGCAAAGTTAGGGAGGGTCTATCTTAAAAAACAAAATACAAACAAAAGCGCTAAGGATGTAACTCAAGTAGTAGTGCTTAGTAGTTACTACTACTACTAGTGAGGTCCTGGTATCAGTTCCCAGTACCACAAAACTAATAAATAAATAAGTAAACAAACCATACTCCCTCCTTGTCAGATTCTGACTCCCCTTCCCACTTTTCTACCTCCCCACCTTATTCTTCAGCTCCATTTCCTCCTTCTGGAACTCATTTTCCACCTCCAGAGCATTATAAGTGTCCTTAGCTCTTTGAGCTCTCTGATCTTGCCCATCCACAAGGCCTCAACTCAAATTAGCCTAACCTACTCCATTTTGTACAGGACTCTATCTTGATTGGCAAGAAGGTTCTTTCACTTTGTTTTGCAGAAGTTAAACTCAAGTGGAACCCCACTTACCTCTTATTGAGAACATATCCCCCCTCATGACATCATAGAAAGGATTGTACAAGCTAAGGAGCAACCACCTTGACAAAACTGAGAAACTGACTAAACCCAGCTGCTTCCTGAAACAGATAGCTAAAGCAAAACACCAAAATGTCAATAGTATGTTTGGTTTACATCTCAAATTCTTGTAAACCCCAGCCCTAACTCATT